GTTTACTTGTGCAGCGGGTATTGAGTACCGTGCCGAAGCGTAATACCCGAGAGAGTGTGTTGTGTATGTTTATGTTTACATGAGTACTGTTATTTAGTGGCTGGTGTAGAAGTGTGTATGAGCAGCTGTTTAATGGCTTGATGAGATGATGGCAGTAATCAGTGAGAAACGAGATGAGCGCTGAAAAGCTTGGTCCCTCCGTTCTCACATGCATGCACACACACACACACACACATACACATGCACACGCTCTCCCTACTGGCAGATGATTGACGGCCTGAGGGTTTTAATGGCACTGTAGAGGGAGAGCTGAGGTTGGAGTTGTCATGGCAACAAGGCGAAGGCGGCCTCTTTCTCCCCCTTTTCCTCACTCTCTCTTTATGCACCTGAACAGAGCCGCATCTTACTCGCAGGACTGAGTTTACTCACACACACACACACACACACACACACACACTGCAGTTCTGGTGTCCCTCCCCTCTGTCCGCAGTATACACAGCTCTTTGTGTGTTTAAGCGTGTGTGTATGAAGCCATATCTAGCCACCGCAGTCTCTCTCTCTCTCTCTCTCTCTCTCCTCGTAAAAGAGCTGGAGCCTGAGCACTAATACTCTCTGGTCGCCCCGGGTTACGGTTCACCACACGCCCCCCTGTACTGCTGTGTTAGCTGGGATTGGTTGGGTTGGCAAGGGGGGACCAAGCGTGTGTGTGTGTGGCACAGGGGGTGATGCTGTATAACAGCTCTATAAGAGCCACAGATCTCAGGGTGGAACAGTGAACCAGACCCTGTTCACAGACACTCACCTCTTCTGAGTATTGGATCAGTACCAGCCGCCAGTATCACAATGTGTGTGTTTAAGAGCAAACTCTACCTCAGTCTTTCTTCTCGCCTGCCTCTTGAGTGTGTTTGTGTGTATTACGGCTAGACGATATAAGCTGAGAAGATTATATCTTGATGTTTTTCAACCTTTTGTCAAAGTTGTTTTTTTTGTTGATATTTTTATGAGTTCTTTATTATTGGCATGTATTTTCAAAAATGTGTATTTTATAGGTAAAATACAGCTAAAAAAGATCAACACTCCTTACCCACAAGAATATATAATTATTTAATTAATTTTATTATTTAAGTGAAGAAAAGTGTGACACTTTTCTGCTGACTGTGGACTTCTGTTGACATTTTTGACATTGCAAACAAATCATAGTTTTGAATTAAAAAGAACAAATTTAAATAAATTAAACTTGCTCAATCTAATTGTGCTTTTTGCAATTGAATTTAAAAGTCACAATTTAACGGAAGTAGCAACTGATTTTTTTTCTTCCATTTTTTTTTTGTGATGTACATCCAGTTATAAAGAGTTATTAGTGGGACTTGGTTTAGTTTATTGGTTATTTTTGAATGGCGGCAGATCTGAATGTGAGCTTGTAGTTGTTTGTAAGAAAGGGATGGAGTTTAAGTGAACTAAAGAATAGGAGATAATAATTTATCTCCTACTATAGACATAATTTACCAGAGAGAAGTCTGTCGTTTCACCAGAATTTAGAGTGAATTTTCATTTCATCCGACTTTAACGTTATTGAAAATGAAAGATGCAAACAAATCAGTGAATCATAGTGTTTAATTAATTAATTGAAAATGGCAGGTTGAAGTAATTCACAAAAATGAATCGAACTTGCCAAATCTTATAGCGTTTTTTTCTACTGAAGCTTGAATTACTGTCTTAGCACTGTCATGCTTTTGAGAAACAAGACAAGGAGGAATTGTGAAACTAGTCTAGTGACACGGTCTTTAAAAAAACTTAATGGCCTAATATAAAGCACATTAAAATCATCACAATGTTGCTTAATGTTATATTGCCAGCAAAATCATTTTCAATATTTAATATATTGCAGGGACTTCTGTTAACATCTGAATCATGGTGCAATTGAATCACTGAATCATAGTTTTGAATTGATTCAGTTTGATTCATTTAAATGGCCAATTTAATTAGAATTATTTGTACTGCTTCATAGAAATGAATCAAACACGGCAACTTTTGAAGCCGTTTTGCTACTTGAAGTTATTGTATGACAACATCATATTTGCGCAATGCACAACAAATGAGCGATTGTTAAAGTAGACTTAATTGGTAGAAAACTTAAATGCAAGATAAAAAGCGCATTATAATGTTGCTTCATTTTATATCAGCAACATCTTTGAGTATTCCATAAATCAGCCTTTCTCAGTGTTTGTGTTTCAGGAGTAAATGGGAGGAGTAGTTCTCAATAAGCTCCACCCACTGACCCCTTGGGTCATGCGTGTGTGAGAGAGAGACTGTGTGAGTTTGTGTATATGTGTATTAGCATATTGTGTGTGTTTGAGGTCAGAGGTGGCGTAGCTGTTTGTACGGCGGCTGTAGAGAGGTTTGAGTTACAGCAGGGGGAGGGAGTGTGTGAGCCGACTGCCAACTCTTGCTCTTTAATCCTCCTTCTCTTTCTCTTTCTCTTACTTTCTCCTTTATCTTCCCCCCTTTCCCTCCATGTTTAGTCTCTTTTCCTCTCGTTTTCACTCACACATACACTGACTCGCACAATGCGCCTCGTCTCCTTCCATCTTCTCTCTCTCCGGTAGAACAGGGCAGACTGGCAAGCACACAAGCCCCCAGCAGCAGCAGAATGTTAAAGAGGTTTGAAAGAGGGAACGGGGCCAACGGAGGAAAGGGGCCCCAGTCTCTAAGCGTTCCACTAGCTCAGGAGATTCCACTTGAGGCTCCTCTCGCTCTGTTTGCTTGTTTTATGCCCCTTTTACCAGGGGAAGTATGTACACAGATACACAAGAGCCGAGCTGTAGTGCAGGCGTTTTTCTGATGCAAATAAACGTGTCTCGTGTCTTTGAGTTGAATGTGCGGGTTTACCGAGAGTGATTTTACTTGTGTAAATGCACACTGATACTTAGCATTCTGCTCTGTTTTAGAGCCGTGTAACGAAGTTGTACAGCTAAAAGATTTGTTTGCTGTAATTACACAAACTGCAATAGCAAATTCTGCTATTCTGTTTCTTTATAGTCTGAGTTGTATTGTGTCTGCTCAACTGTTGTTAAAGCATTTGTCTTAGGGCTGCACAATTAATCGAATTTCTAATCGCGATTACAATTATGGATGCCACAATTACGTAATCGTTCAAAGCGGCAATTAATCGTTCAAAGTCCATTTCTGTTATCCTGCGTGCTTAAGATGCTAAAGAATAATCGGTTATCGGTATCGGCCAAAATTTTCATATCGGTGCATCCCTAATGACATTATAATACCATTCATATATTTTTTTTTTTTTATAATTTAAAGAAGAAACCAATCCGATGTTGACATTTGAGGCTTAATACTATAGAAAAGCACTAAAAGTTTTTCAGTTAGTGTTTTCAGCTTGTTTATTTTCATATAAAAATACAATATGCAGTTGCATAAAAAATGGTTTAAACATCATTCAATGTAAATTGTGATAATCGTAATTAATTATCGCAATTACAATTTCAAGGAAATAATCGACAATTATGATTTTTGTCATAATCGTGCAGCCCTAATTTGTCTCTAAAGACAGTTGTTTTATATCTTCTCCTGCCTTTGGTTGTTTTATTAGTGTCATGGGTAAATAACATTGTCCTAAAAGCGTTTACTTGATTGACAAATGCAATAAATATTATTACAATTTAAAATAACGTTTCTGTTTTCTGTTCTGTAAGCATTTAATAAATATATTTTAAAATGGCATGTATTGCTATGATGGCAAAGCTGAATTTTTAGCTTTGTGCACATTTTTTTATTGTGAAAAGTGTGATCTTTCTTTTTTTCAGAATTCTTTGATGAATTGAAAATTAAAAAGAGTAGAATATATTTGAAATATAACTTTTTTTATATTCCATAAAACATGTATATATTCCATATAAAATCTATGAAGTAATCTATATATTAGTGCTGTCAAATGATTAATCGTGATTAATCGCATCCAAAATAAGTTTTTGTGTACATAATATATGTCTGTGTGCTGTGTATATTTATATACAGTATATATTTTGAAAATATTTACATGTGTATATACATTTATATATTTATATTCTTATATTTTATATAAATATATTTAATATATAAACATAACATATTTTTCTTAAATATATATATGCATGTGCCTGTATTTAAATGTATTATATACAATAATAAATATACACAGTAAACACACATATTATGTAAACAAAAACCTTCATTTTGGATGCGATACAGATATTTCCTGAAAAGTTATCCCTCAGTTCTGATTGGTTAATTGGAATGCTGTTCCAGGATTAACAAGGATGTTGATCCAGGAACATGTTGTACTTGGTGAAATCACGGTCACCGTACACATATATAGATATATAGATATATATTATGCAAACAAAAACTTTCATTTTGGATGCGATTAATCATGATTAATTGTTTGACAGCACTACTATATATTAGTATTGAGAATAATTAATGTCAATAATTTGTATTTTATTTTGGTAAATATTATTTAAACTAAATTTATTATTTTATCAAAATTATAAGCTATAAAAATAAATGAATCGCTTTAATTTTTTTTTCAAATTAAAACAATATTCTCTTTCAAGTTTTTGTTTAAAACATTTGGAAGAGAAAATGAAAATGAAAAAGAAATGTAATATAAATGCTAGTTTTTAATGTTGCACATGTCAAAATGGCGATTTTGATAAAAAATTAACTAATGTGAATTTCATCTTTACAAATTCTGCATTTACAATTTTTAAACAATATATGAGGACATGATGGAGACGTGTAACTGTACTGCATAACACTCATAACCCAAATATCAGCATCAGGTTTTGAAAAGCCTGTGTTTTGATGCCATATTGTTATTGATGAACCAAACAATGCACTATAAATCATGTCACGTCGAAATCAAAGTAGCATTGGTGTAATATTAGTATTGTATGAGGGTTGTCTAATATCTGTACTAACTTGTTCTCTTGTCTGTTTCCCAGAGTGCAGCAGCAGCCCCCAGCCCCGTAATGGGCAACATGCCCCCCAACGACGGCATGCCGGGCGGACCCATGCCCCCTGGTTTCTTTCAGGTAAGCACAGCTGGTTTCATTCTCTTCCTTGCCTTCTTTTCCATTCATCACCCTGTCACACCTGCGCTCCATTCGTTCATTCACTCTCTCTCGTTCTGTGTGCGCGTGGGCTACTGGTGGGTCTGTCTGTGGCTGTGGGCGGCTTGACAGCAGCCTGGAGCTCTGCTGTCTGTGTGAGATCATTCTGAACTTCTGTTTTATCCACACAGTATTATTCCTCACCGGTAAGATGGAGGCTCAGGATATTAAGTGTTAGTGGAAAGTAGCTCTAGTGACATTTCTGGAGCTGTATTACACTTCCTATCTCAAGTTATTGAGACCCCAATAGTTACTAAACAGCTAATATCTGGAGTTTGGATGTTTCTGTAATACGGCTCCCATAACGAATCAATGGAAACAGTTGCTGCTGGTTATCAATTAACTGTGTTACAAAACATTTAACTGTGACTATGAGAGAGAGAAAATGAATGAATGGGATTTTCACTCTTTATGTGCTTCTGAATGACTGTACCTCTTTAAAATATTTTGTTGTATTTCTTTCTTCCTTGCTAAGCTTTCTCCTCTTTCTTTATCATACCTCTATCCATCTGCTTGCTGCTTTATTCATTCCATACTGCAGGCCGTGGTGTGTTCATGAAGGTGTTATACTTGTTAAATGCGATGTGGACATTTACAATGTTCTCTCTCTGATCAGTTTCTTAAGCCATTTTAAGTGGATGGCCTATGGAAACAGATCAGTCTTCTTTATCAATAGTGTCTATACTGCAACATTGAAGTTCAACTAGATTTGATTTGTTCTGAAGAAAATGCGAGTGGTGCTCTCCTGTGGAAATATTGCTGCCGTTATGCTATGGCGTTGCTTTGCAGTTGCTAAGGAGTTCTGAGTGTTTTTAATGGTTGCTAGGTGGTTACTTGTTGGCACAAGTCAAAATAAGTCTTTATGATTTTCTGTTCCCTAGATATGGTCCCTCCCTTCATTCTCATTTATTTCCCCATTTTGTCGTCCGCCAGATTAAAAGTTATTCTCAATCCACTCGATTCGAGTTGCCATACGTACCATGCTATCACCAATTCTAGAGGGTTTTTAAATTTTCTTTTTATTTAACGGGATTGGCTGATTTTGGATAATTAATGATGTATGGTGATTTCTCTTATTGTTATGTTTAGATTCCCTTTGCTGTCATCATCTAACCTAAAGTTTATCTTTAAAAACACTAATAATCATCTTTAGCAAATCTCAAAATGAATATGAATTTTCCCACTGTACATTACAATGTTGTGATGCTTAAAAAAACAAGACTGTAGCATTTATGCTTTTATTAAGATGCGTTTTTATTTGTAGCTTATTTGAGAAAATATTTTATATAATCGTACAGAATTTTTGTAGAATTTTAATATTGGCCATTTATATGCTATCGGTCATAAGATGAAAATAATTAACAACTTATTGGTGACAGCCAGTATTTGAATATTGGTGCATCGCTAATTATTAGTGGTTTCTTCAAATCTCTAATCTTCAGTATGAGCACTAGTAATGGTGATATTAATTATAACGTGCTCAGATATCAGTTTTTCATCAATGAGTCATGTGGCACGAGGTGGAGATTTAGATTATTTATTGTGCTTAAGAGCTTTTTAATTTCCATTTCTGTGTGTTTACATGAAACCTCACAACCACTTGCATACAAGCACGGACACGCGAGCCTCATAATCAAACATGCTTGTACACATCCACAGCCCTTCCCATGATGCAGTGGGGGTGGTGGAGCGTTTGCTCAGTGATGGACAGGCCTGGCATTTGGCAGTGTTAGTGATAAGGCAGAGCTGAGGGAGCACCGCTGTCTGGAATCTCTGCTGTATGGGGAGGGAAGGGTTAGGAGAGATATATAAGGGAAAGGTTTGAGGAGAAGGAGGGAGAGGTGCGGAGGAGATCTTTTGGAGAAGCAGAGGAGTGCTATTTATATCAGCTCAGTGCTGAGGGAGAGAGAGAAGAGGTGTGATGTGTTCTGGCGTGTGAGGTGTGTGTGTGTGTGTGTGTGTGTGTGTGTGTGTGTGTGTGTGTGTGTGTGTGTCATTGGTTCTCCAGAGGTGTTTCTCTCATATCTTAGAGAGAC